GTTATCAATTGTTAAATTTAAAACTGGTAATCATACAAGAGTCTATGTACTCTATTTTCTGTTGAACAAAGATCAGTGACTTGAAAAAAGACAGAGAACCCAACACAGAAAAAGAATTAGGGTCAGAATTAGCTTATCAATTTGTATTATATGAAAAAAAAACGGGTTTCTTGAGATTGGTAGAAATTATTAAGGATTTGATGAGTTGAAAATCAGGCTTTTAAAATGTGCACATACTGTAAATAAAAAGAACATGTATTAATACAGAACACAGTAAAAAGTTCTACCAATAAATACAGACAATAAACTAACACCCAGCTGAATCATACACCCCTATTCCCGTTCCTAATCCTAGGTCATGATTACAGTCTTGCAGTCTCCAAACAATCAATCTGGATTTAAAAACGTTTTTTAAATAATTCGTATACTATATTTTAGTAGGAAAAAGACTGCAGGAAAATAAAGTAAAACAGTAAAGTTTACATCCCTTGATAAGACTGCAGTAAAATACAGTAACACAGTAAAAGTTTAAACATCTTGGTAAGACTGCATGAAAATAAAGTAAACCAGGTAAAAACTTAAACCTCTTGGTGAGACTGCAGGAAAAAAACTTTTACTGTTTTACTTTACTATCCTGCAGTCTTACCAAGAGGTTTAAACTTTTACTGTTTTACTTTAACATCTCCCGGTAAGACTGCTGGATAGTAAAGTAAAACAGTAAAAGTTTACATTTCCTGGTAAGATTTTAGCTGTTAATTTATTATTTTTTACATTTTCTGTTTTATTACAGTTATCAAACTTCATACTGGCTAACTGTAATAAGAACACCAACCCCTGGTGGTCATTCTGGACACCTGTGGTAACCACATTTTATTTCCCAGTTGACTAATACGTTTGTTTGTAGTTAAGCACAAAGCTACATAAAGGGCTATCTGTGCTCTGCCCACTACGGGTATCAAAACCCGGTTTCTAGCGTTGCAGACATGGCGACTAGTACGTCCAAATCCATTGCAGTGTTTTTATGTATGTAGGTTTTTTTATGCAGTATGTTAATTCAAACAGAAAATATCGTCTAAGATGTTTCACTGCACTGCAAAAATGAATTTAATCAAAACTCCACTTGTCTTTTTTTCTGTTTTCATCGTGTTTCAAGAACTAATAAATTTAACACACATTTTACGAAGCTACTTGTACATGTACGTGGTATTTCGCTTTAATAATAAAGAACAAAATAAAAATTTTGTACGGTGCCACTATGTCAGAAAATAGGTCTAGACGGAACTCGCGGAAGGTGTAAATCAATAACATAGAAGTGAGCACGTGGTCTCGAAATCACGTGCCAAACGACTAAAATGTACTGACAAACAGTAAGTACTTTCAAAGCTAGTTGAAACTTAAAAAATGGCTTCATTACGTATTTAAAACTTAAACCTATCCAATATCTTGAGGCATCCAATACTAATAAAAGCTTGGTCAATTTTAAATGAAATTAAAAATAAATATATACGTTAAAATATAAGCAAATATACGTGAGAGACCTAAACCTAATTTTCCACCTTTGTATCAACACTAAACATTGACTAATTAGATCAAAATTAGAAGTAGCTGAGAACTGAACTTTTGCATAAAAAGTGAAAATCCTATATTGGATGGATAAAAAGTCTTTAAAGTGGAAAGTTATTATGAATCTAAAAAAAAAGACTTTTAGACGAGTCAAACTCTACAACAAAACAGTGAAATTGAGTAAGTTAAAATAATATCTTAATTGATAACAGTTACAATAAATTCAAGGAAGTTAAAGAAACGTAGAAAAACGGCTTTCGTGTTTTAAAAAATTTGATTATATTAACCCAAAACTTGACTTACACTGGTCCCATATTGAAAGATTAAACCTCGTGATTTTGAAATGCCTGTCCAAGTAAAGCTCAATACATTAAAACTCGGAAGAGCGACGACTTTAGAATGCAGTATGCTGCTTTAACATTTAGAAGATAGTAATATATATATATATATATATATATATATATATATA